GAATTTAATACTAGTACAGTACTATAAGTACCAGTTTTTCAACTAAGAGTTTCTGTTCCTGGATCCAATCCAGAATCTCATATTACATTGAGTTGTCATGTCTGCATTATCTCCTCCAGTCTGACAGTTCCTATTTCTCCTTTCCTGACCTTTATATCTTGAAGAGTGCTGTTCTATTTTGTATCTTATTTTGGTAAGCGATCCTTTATTTTGAGTGTGTCCCGACATTAGATTGCGGTTAACATTGTTGGGAAGAACACCATAGAAGCACTATTGTGCCCCTCTCAACATTTTGTGGCGGAACGTATCTGATGCCCTTTTGGTGATAGTGATCAAGTGATCTTGATCACTTTAAAAAAAAAATCATTTTATTGGGTTCTCTTACAACTCTCACAACATTCCATACATCGGTTGTATCAAGTATATTTGTACATATGTTACCATAATCATTTCCAAAACATTTCCTACTTGAACTATTGGTATAAGCTCTTTTTTTCCCCCCTTTGATCACTTTCATAAGGTGCCAGCTGGATTTCTTCTGGTAATTAATAGATATTTCCTTTTGTAATTAACAAATTTTATGGGAGAATTACTTTGAGAGTATGCACATACTGTGTTTCTCCTCAAATTCTCACACCTATTTTATAATCCATCAGTGGATATTGTTTACAGCAGTGACTGTTATTTGCCTCAAAATGGTTTTCTCATCTCTGTACATTTATTAGTTGGAATTATCCTACAGCTAAGAATTTTCCCCTGGATTTCTCCATTCTTATTTTATGGAATAAATGTGTAGTCACTTTGGCCATAGGAGCTCCTTTAAATTGACAATTGTTTTTTCACACTCCTCTCAAATAAACTTTAAGACATTCTTCTTTTTGAAAATTCTTTTACTTTCTAGTGTTAGTGTTATAAGGTGTTCCAGGGTTTCTTGTATTTTACCTGCCCTTTCCTCCTGATTCCAAGAGTTTTTTTGTTCTTAAAAAAATGAAGTCCAGCCAAGTAGATAATTATAATATATACCGGATACTTAATAAAGTTTCTGGGTACATGTAAACATCCAAGATAAATATATTATTCTTTGTGAACTTTTCATCCATTGAATGTTTCCTTTATTGCAACTCACAGCGGGAGATACCAGAATTTGTATAGTGTACACATAAATCTTCCCTCAGTGTTTTTGAGACATAATGAATGTAAGGCAACGTATGTAATTAAAACTAAGTCTGTTGTGGAATTTCTTTTCCCTTCAGTGTACAAAATACCATGGGACTCTGAGGAGGAAGTAAAATTGTGAGCTAGGTTACCCCCTGCCCCCCCAAAAAAACTCAAAAACAGTAATATTGAGGATTATCTTGCAAAGTAATCAAAGTAAAAAAGAAACAACCAAATCTGTGTTGCTAACAGATAGTTGTCTAGCTGATATAAATAGACACATAAGAAATGGGCTCAGGAAGGTGCGGTGAAATAGTGATAGAGCTGGAATTTCAGCTTAGATTTGTGTGGTTCCAAAGCTCGTTTTGTGCTTTTGTACCAGTGGATCTCACCCTCTCCTGCCTTCCACATTTAACTCGTACAGTATTAATTTCTTTGTTAATATCTGACATGTTAAAGAGTGTTGGCCTGGAGGGAAGAGGTCAATAAATGACATATTCCTGTCTCATCAGCAAACACCATCTTCCTAGATACTTATATTGGCTCTTCCTTGCCCTAGACTAGAACTACTCCATAGGATCCCAAGGTTGTGACCCCCCCCTCCCCCAAACATGATTTATTTATTTAAAACGTTTATTGGCATTTAATCCACATACCACAAATCACACAATTCAATAGTTTCAAACATGACAAGAAGAGTTGTTACCATAATCCATTTTAGAACATTCCCCCTCTCTCTCCTCCCATGGTTAAATCACTTTTAAATTGAGTCGTGTAATCCTCATAATTTCTAGAGAGGGCTCCCTCCCACATACATTTTTGCTCCCTCAACCCCTCATCCTCCCTGTCTCCTACGCACCACCCTTATCTCCCCTATAAACCCTTGCATTAGTTCTTATCTCTATGCCCCTACCAGGTTGTGATCTTATGGAAGCTGACCTGATACATCTTTCTCCCAAGCAGCAGCCGATGGAGATTTGCCGACCTGGTCAGCAGCTGAGTGCTTAATCACTGTGCTACCCAGGCTTCTTATTTCCTAATAGGAAGTTTAATGACTTTGTTGTTGTTATCATTTTCTTAGGATATTATCTTCCAAACGATGATGGAGAATTTTATCAGTTTTGTTACGTTACGCACAAGGGTGAAATTCGTGGAGCAAGTACTCCTTTCCAGTTTCGAGCTGCTTCTCCAGTTGAAGAATTGCTTACTATGGAAGATGAAGGGAATTCTGACATGTTGGTGGTGACCACAAAAGCTGGCCTTCTTGAGGTTGGTAGCAGTGAGGTAGTGGTTTGGTTCATGTTGGTTGACGTTTAAAGAATTCTCAGGTTGTGAAAGAGTTTCCTTCCATAAAAATCAAGTGATTTTTAACTAAAATAATAAAGGTAATGGGGGTTATTTTTGAAATAATTTGAAAATCTTTTGGTACTAATTGTTACTGCTCTATTATTGCAGCTATTATCTTTAGGGCCTACTAGTTTGAGACAATAGGTACAGAGTGGATATCAGTTGAAAGAATTTAAAATGAAAGCATTCCTAACTTTCCCTCTCAATATTAGTAGTTTAATCTACTGATTGTAGAATAGTAGAGAACTAGGGTTGAAACTCGGTTTAGAAGGTGGCCTAAAATAATACATTAAAATGTAATTGGATGTGGCCTCTACCACCATGAGCATGGACTCTCTCCTAAATGTGGTAGAGTTGTAATTAAAAAAAAAAAAAGTAGTCTTACTTTAGATAGAATGTGTTTAGAGTGATTCTTTTCTTTGGACAATCAAATGAATTAACTGGGATCAACCATAATTTTTTTTAAGGGGGTGATACCCATTTAGATTTTTTGAAGTCTTCAAATATGGCCCCATGATATTGTTTCAAATATCAATTTACTATAGATTGTCTCATAATGCTTTTTTCCTGAATTTATAGTAGTTAGTTGAAGGAAAAGCTTTAATAACATTCTTTTCTCAATTCAAGATAATATTTCGCAATATCTTTACCCTCTCTCTAAAAAAATAGGACATTAACTTTGAGTTACTACAACTTAATTATATGTAGTATCTTCTGTGGTAATAATTAAGAAAAATGATTCCAAATTGACTCTGTACATACTTTTGGTCATATTTTATCTATGATGGGTCAGTACTTTAGGGTCAGATGATTCTTTTTGGTTTTAAACATGTAAGTACTTTACATCTTTTATCTGGAGTTAAGTAATGCGAATAATAGAAATAAACACAAAATGGCTTCAAAGATTTGTCGAATATCTAATTTTAAAAAAAGGTTATGGAACTTTCCCACGTTTTTGCGAAGCCCCTTTATATAATACAGTCCAATCTAAAAAGGTAAGAAGAGACCAGTAATTTTTTATTGTGAAATTTTTCATACCATCTCTTTCCCGTTCCAGAAATTCCTCCCTTATCTTAAATGTAGCTTTTATAGGGTGACTAAAACATTTTGTGGTGACAACTGCCTGATGATCAAGGTCTTTTAGCCTGTTATTTTAAAGTTAGTCAAAGATACTGAAACAAGCCCAGCTCTTTAAAAGAATGCAGTTAATGTTTATATTGTAGCTTTTGAGTACTTGGTAGACCACCCTGATGATGTCAAAACCTCCAACAGAAAAAAAATCTTAACATCCACAGTTCTCTTCTGATTCTTCTTCAAGTAAATTCAGCCGTAGCACACACAACACAGTCCATCACAGTTCTTCCTAGCCCTAAAGGGTACTTTACAATGACATTTTAATTGTTGCCTCTTAGGTAAATATTTCTGAGATAATATGATTTTACTTTTTGGACAATCTTTTATATGTAATCATCACAATCTTTTGGACTTTCTCTAAAACTGCCATAATTAGTGAAAATGTGAGCTATACTGAGACATTGCATTAAAAATGATTAATGAAAGTACATGCGTAATGGTCTCATGAAATGTATAAGCCTCGACTGGTTAGCCTACATTAAAAAAAAAAAAGAAGTAAAAGATTTTGGTTAACATGGATATCTAACTCTGAATTATCAATTAGATATTTAAGATTATTGTTAGTTTTTGTAGTTGTGACAACTGGTTGAATAGCATGCTATTTTTATTAAGATAACTTGCTCTATAGCAGCAGTTCTCAACCTGTGGGTCGCCACCCCTTTGGGGGTCAAACAACTCTTTCACAGGAGTTGCCCGATTCATAAAAGTAGCAAAATGACAGTTATAAAGTAGCAACGAAAATAATGTTATGGTTGGGGGGTCACCACAACATGAGGAACTGTATTAAAGGGGGTCGTGGCATTAGGAAGGTTGAGAACCACTGCTCTACAGTGTTTAGGTGGTGAAATGTCTGTAATTGCATTTCCAATGGTTTAGCCAAAAATAAAATAAAGAAACTACGTAAAATGAGATAAACATGGCAAAATAATAATTAGTGGATCTAGGTGAAGATGGGATGTTCATTGTAGAATTTTAGCTATAGATAGTTAACAAGATTCAAAATAGGGGAGTAATAGACTTCAGCTTGATTTCATGATTCCATGGCCTTGAGGAATCGATTTGGGATGTATTACTAGGGAAATGTTAAATTTCCCACCTAATGTGCCTCCTTTGTGGAGCCTTTCCTTTTGAGTTTGTTATTTTTATTTATTAAGTTTGTATTAATTTTCAAATAGAGAACAGTGTATTTATAGAGTTTATTCCTTTGTACTTAAGAAACCAAAACTTTTCATAGGAATCTCATGGATGGAGACTTTATATAACACATAAGTAAGTTCTCATAACAGATTCAGAGGTTAACATTCAGTAAGAGATGAAAATTTTCTCCTTGAATCTTGTGGACATTATTGAGGATTAAAACATAAGTCACTTAGGAAATTTAACATGCTCTTTTGGTATTGATTTGGAAAGTGATGTTAATTTTAGTCAGTTCATGATAAATTGTACTCATTTTCTGCTTTTGAATATTTTATTTTTTTGTCCAGCTTAAAAACAGGTTGAAAGGTTTGATTCATGAATTTTTCCAAGCAAGGACTAACATATTTATTTATATAAAGTATAAAGGGTGTAAAAGCTCTTATTTAGAATTTTCTAACTTGTTTGTTTGTATATCAGAAAGTGGAATTTGTGGTAAAGTTTTACAGGATTTAAATAATTTGAGTTTTTGTTTTACAGTTGAAAATTGAAAAAATCATGACAGAGAAAGAAGAACTGTTAAAGTTAATTGCTGTTCTGGAGAAAGAAACAGCACAACTTCGAGAACAAGTTGGAAGAATGGAAAGTGAACTTAATCACGAGAAAGAAAAATGTGACCAACTGCAAGCGGAGCAAGAGGTTAGTTGTGTCTTTTGTAACTGACTGCAAGCGATAACGTATTTTCTGAAACTCACCTTTTCCAAGAACTGAACCAATTAAAGTAGGTAAAAACCAGCGATTGGAAAACGTCGCATTTAGACAGACATTTATACAAGGATAGGTCAGTTCCTGTTAACCTCCTGTCACAGATTCTTTTATGTTGTAAAATGGTTAAAATACTTTTAGATTTTTGCAACTAGGTTTGATGAGGGTTGCCCTTAACAACTGTTTCCAGATGTTTTACATCTAATTGTAGAACACTTGATAATTTTGATGGAGAATCATGCTATTTATAAGAATAAATGATAATCTTCACCAGGTAAAATGATGAACATTTTAAATGATAGTAAACACCGAGTAAAGGGAAAGTAGAACAAAGTAATCACAATTACATTTCACAAAAGTAGAGTTAGTGGAACATTATATATTTACTAGATAAAATCTGAAAATCATCATGTGAGAAATGCGGTGAATTATCCTAACACCCCCCCTCTCCTTAACTCAATTAACAAGAATTTCCATCAAGATAGTGCAAAAGATCACAATCTGTCATTATAGCTTATTGGATATACTTATGAATGCTGATAGGAGTGAATTATTGTTGGAACAATGGAGTCTTTGTTATACATTTTGTTATACATAATTCCACCAGCGGGTTTTGAATAGCATGCATCTGAGCAATGATGATGTAGATGTAGAAACTGTCTCTTATGTGCTCGTTAAGGATTATACTTTTTTTTTGGATTATACTTTGATATTATATGTATTCTCTAAATCAAACACTGTACTTTGAAAAACTCCTTAAAAATGTCTGTTAAGACATTTAATTCCCTGTTTGCCTTTAATATTAACCATTTATTTAAAACTCAACTTATGATTACAGAGTTCTTAGACTAAAAAAAAAAAGTTCTTAGACTATACACCCGTTGCTTTTGAATTGACACATGGAAGGAACCCCATGTGCTTTGTAGACATTTCAGTGGGTGATGTTTTGGAAGTAGATTGCTAGTTCTTTCTTCTGGGTGAATTTGAACAGAACTGCCAGTCTATTGTCACTGAGCCATGTTAACCATTTGCACTTATTCTGGATAAGAAACTACTTTTTAAAATGTCGACTTTTAAACCTTGTAACAAATGAAAAGAACTACAGTGAAATCCTATAGTAAATGCCTACCCTCTACTAGGACATGCAGCTAAATTTGTGCTCAATTAGTGTAGCTCCCCTAGTATTTTGTATAGTTAAAACTTTTTTCTATTCCTTACACATCGCTATTATTTTGGCTGTATTTAGCAGTGTTTCCAAAGTACAATGGTGGTTTTAAATTTTTTCTTTGGAATCAGAGAGGTGGGAGGTAAGATGACTCATGCAAAGAAAACCCTATAACTGTATCTATTAAATAAATAAGCCTGATCCCTTAAAATCAAGAATAGATGGCCAGAAGAATAGGAATGGCAGGATACTAGGCTTTCAATTCCATAAACATTAGGCCAGACAGACTTTGGTTAAGTATTAGCTGAGATTGAAACAGTTCCAGGTTTTCTTTCGTGTCCTGTTTGTAAAGGGTTAGTTGCAACAGACAAAGCAGCAGTTTACTCTAACAGACTGAGGTTGGGAAAGTGGTAGACTGCAGTCAGAGGATTAATGAAGCAAAACTTGTAGGAGACTGTGGCCTTGGTGCCCTGAAGAGCTCTTCAAGCAGAAGTTTTTATGGGACCTCTTAAATATTGATTACAGTCATTAATCTTGTGGAGGATACCTCTTCCCTGCTGCTATTCTTGTTGTGGGGCATACTCTCTAGGAAGATGAAGTAATTTTTCATTGATATTCTGTTGTAAATAGAATGATGGTTAAAAAAAGACCTCCAATGAATGGTACTGGTAATACATATTAGGTTTTT